AAATTGTTGCCAGGGTGTCGCCGCCACGCCGGACATATTCGGCGTAACCTGCATTCCGTGCAGCCTGGCCTCCCGCTATTCAGGGGCCTGGAACCCACCTGCCCCACCTGGCAGGGGCAGGTGGGGTGGCTTCCCCAGGGGCGCTGGAACGATTTCAAAGTTGGGAGGAGGGTAAGGAGAAACTACCTACTTACGAACCTCTACTTGAAGAGCGGATCCAGGATTCTGTTAAGGGGGCCACACAACTTTGTAGCCCCTCCCCCCTGGATTTTGAGGCCCTCCCCCATAAGAACGGTCCTCGATTTTGGCCATCGGAATATAAGATTCTGATGTGTGGTATTCGTGTTTGCGGAGCATTGTTTTCCTGTGTGCCGCCTCAAACCCGTGGCCCGTGGTGCGTATGTACATGCATGGAGCGCGTGCATTGAAGAGCTCACGGCCAATGTGGAAGACCCCGGCGCGATCAACAGTAGCGCACTCTTGATCGCTCCGGGGCCCCTGAGAAACCGAGACCAATGTGAAAGGCCCCTAAGCAGCTGAGGACCCATGCAGGATGACACTTGGGGTCTCCAGCAATAGCGTAAGGAACTTTTCAGGAAAATGGGAAAAATCCGCTGAGGGCCTCTAGTCGATCAAGATTGCATGTTCGGGCCCAAGAATAGCGCAGGGGTCTGCGAGCAGACCCTTATATCAGATGAGAAATCAAGAGAAACGTGAACGCCTCCTTACCGATTAGATTGACGCGGAAAGTGGACATATAGCGCCCTCGGCAACAATGTAGGGGCTCTAGACGGCGTAATAAGTCTTGAAGCCTCCCAGTTCCCACCCTCTCATTCAGCAAATTTTTCTGACACGCTGGTGGGCTTGACTGAGTTTTCATAACGTTCACGCACTGAACGATGAGGTTTTCCCGAATCTTTAATTTTTCTGCTCCTTTGGCCACGGGGAAGTCTGCGGCTGCCTTCCAAGACGTGGTCTTCTAGGTGCGCCCGCAGCAAGAAGGCAAGAAGCGACAGGTCAGGGGATGAGTCACCTGTTCCACGTCTAGGCGGCGACTGGTCGCGTCTAACTGATTCGTGGTATCAACGAGACGCGGTCCTGTTCCGTTGAAAACCACTGACTGGCACGCCTGGTTCTGCCCCGTTGAAAACCACTGACCACGCCTGTGCCTGTACGCGCGTGCTCGTCCTAGATGATGCAAGAGTTTCTAGAAGACTTCGATGCAGCAATGCGTAGTCAGTGTAACCGCGCGGCTGCTGTTACCTCTCTTCAACCAGAGTGGCCGGTATGACCATGATTAAGCAGCGCTATCCATGCGCCACACTTCACTGAGTGCAGGGGTCGGTCGATGCAGTGCAGTGGTGCCGGGCTGCATATTAACTGATACTGGCAAGACCAACAGCGGGTCAATGTCGCGGACCTGAGCACGAATCTGAATCCCCTTGCGACCTAACGAACGCATGTCGAGTGATCTGCCTTTCAAGGGGTCCTGGAGCCGCCCCTGGGCCAGTGACAGCGGCAGGTACTTATAACCTTGCCGACGCCTATATTCATTCCTCTCGCGTGCAGAGTCCGAGTTATTTAGTGCTAACATGCACCATTTTGGGGAGGACCGCAGTGGAGCCAACTTCTCCCAAACCGCAGCGTTGTCTCGATCTCGCAAAAGAAGACCTCTACATGAGGCAAAAAGAAAAATCAGGAAAAGGAAAACAGTGGAGCGTTGTTCAAATTTTAGAGAGCAGAATTGTGATCGATTTGCGTTTTTCTAAACTGAGAAATGATTCATCATATACAATAAGCCACTTAGACTGAGATTACGTTTAGACGCCTTTAAGGTGTCTTAAACATTAAACTAGGAGGCCCGAGGATCAAAACAGGACACGGCGCCTTCTCATATCTTCCAAAACGAAAATCATGGCGACGGAGAGGCCTCTATGGCGACGGAAAGGGGTGCGCTGGACTGAATTTGGCTGACCTCCTGCGGACCGATTTGGGCTCCTGAGCGAACCCTTGGCCGCACCACTAGCTGCCGTGAGCTTCAGAGGTCGGCCAGCACCAGCACCAGGGCGCCAGCTCGTGTGATGCCACCGTGGAGCTGCGTGGTTGAGGGTGAAGCCAGGGCCGTCTGGAGGCTGCGTCATCGCCGCGCGGCGTCAAATCTGATCACGAGTGGCGCCACTGCCCTTCACTGGCATCCGGCCGGCCTCGGGTGTCACCGGTAGCTGGGGTACCCTGGCAATTCCGCGGCGCCTCTGGAGACCACTGAGCTGTGTGCTCGAGGCGTTCCCCGTCTGTCTTGAAATATTGTGGTTTGGGGGTCCCAGCGACAGCGGGAGTCCTCGTGCGTGTGTGCGCGCACGTGTGTGTGTGTGCTGGGGAAGGGGAGGGAAACGACAGCCCTATCTGGTTTTCTTTTATTTCCAATGAACATCGGCGGGGCTAACGCTGAATTGTCAGAATCTTGAGCGGCTCACTCCCCCCCCCCCGCACACACTGGCCACCCTGGCTCTCTGGCACCTTGAGGGAGGGGCTCACTGTCTGCCCGGGGTCCGTACCCTGTTGGAACACCTTTGTGTTCTCAAGTCCATCGCTCGCTCCTGATGGTTCGGATTGGATGAATGTTTTGGGTCGCTCCTGATTGGTGCGTGGCCTGCACTGGCCGGCCCCTGATTGGCTCCCCGTGACCCCGATGACCGTCGGCGTCCGTGTGCGCCAGCGAGCCGCCATGGCATCGGATGCGGAGCTGGCCGCTGAGGAGGAGCCGAAGACGGAGCAGCCGGACGCGGAGGAGGAGCCGAAGACGGAGCAGCCGGACGCGGAGGAGGAGCCGAAGACGGAGCAGCCCAAAGCGGACGAACCGAAGGCCGAGGAGGAGCCGCTGAAGGAGGAGCAGCCGGACGTGAAGGCACAGCCGAAGGAGGACGAGATGGACGGAGAGGAGCCGTCGGAGGAGGACGCGGCGACCGAGTCCGGCGAGAACAAGATCGTCATCTCGCTGGGGGAGCTGGTGGATCTGGCGCTGTGCACGCCCGAGGTATGGACGGGCGGCCATCCAGAGCCCACACGGACGCGGGAACTGCTCGCATCGCCCGTGATGGCTGGCGCGTTGTCGTGGCCGGCATTGCTTGAGTAGGCGACGGGCGGCGGCGTGTTTGAAAGCGTTCCTGTTGTTGTGGCGTTGGAACAATCATTTCACGTTGCCGTTTGCATGCAGTGCCATACAGCCATCGTTAGTGTCAAACGAGTGTTTCTGGGGCACCCTGCACGGCATCCACGAACGCCCGGTCTCGAGATAGATGGCGTCGTGGTTGTAGAAGGCCGCGCTTCTGCACAGTCCGTCAGAGCTTCCCTTTCAGAGCTTCGGAGCCCATGCGCTGGCAGACTGCACTGGCAGCGGCTTCATTTAACTGAGCTCTACGACGTGTTCTTCACCATCTCCCGACCTGGACCCCGAGAAGCCGCCTGACGAGCTCCCCTGCGATCAGTGACGAGCCCCGTGGGCGTTTGCTTGCAGCCGGGGGCGGTGAACTTCAACCTGCTGCGATCGGTGCTGCACGCGCTGGTGCAGCGACTCGACCTGGTCGACATCAAGGCCGACATTCTGGACGAGGACACCAGCAGGTGTTCGCACAAATAGTGAGTGACCACGCGGCGCCGCCGCCAATGGACGGGAAGCTGCCAACTGTCGTCACATGCTACGGAAGCTAAGTCGGTAGTCGACGTACAAGATGGCTGAGTCGCAAGTGCTTACAAGTTAAGTTAGGCGGTGCAGCTAAGGCAGCGGGGTCAAGCTAGTTAGTTGGCTCAGTTTTGTAGACCACTTAAATAACATTGCTTTGCTAGTTCCGGTCGTCAAGTAAGTCTGGTAGATCAAAAGTCTGTTTGCCCTGGTTTTGGTCAACATTTCAATCGAGGGAAATGTGTAATAAGATTTTCACTCAACGCGGATTTATAAAATTGAACTGATTGCGTTAGCTGCGTAAGCGCCCGAGCTATAACCAAACATTAGTCCCGAATGATTGGGCGGGGAGCCGGCTTTTCACTTGTCTGTTGTCATTACGAGTTTCTCCTTCAGGAAAGTTGGTCGGCGCCTCGAACAGTGGGATCCTGTTGTGCGGCGGCGGCGGCGCCAGTTGGTCGTTAAGTTCACTCGCACGTGCGTGGCGGGTGGTGGGCTCGGGTCCCTCCGCAGGAGACATCTCGGTGGCCGCTGTTTGGGCCCTGCGCAATGCTGTGACACTGATGATCATGGCATTGACATGCTCGCACTCATCGCCTTGTCACATGTTTCCTTTGAGTCTTTGTAAACATTCGGCGCGAATAGCCTGCGGCCAGCCGGCCTTCCGCGCCGCTGCCGACGCGCCCTTAAACGCGAAGAGCAGCGATCAGCGACGGGACATAAGAGTGTCACGGCGGCCCAGGTCAGTGCCGCCGCCGCGCTCCCCGCTCGACTGCGGTTGTGACGTCTGACCCCCTTCGGCTCGGTTTGCAGCTGGAGAACGCCGAGAAGCTGGGCCTGAAAGATCTGCGGCCACTCACACGCCACAGGACACCCACCGGTAGGTGGCGGGGCGGGCGGCACACCTTCCCCGCCGGTAGGTGGCGGGGCGGGCGGCACACCATCCCGCCGGTAGGTGGCGGGGCGGGCGGCACACCATCCCGCCGGTAGGTGGCGGGGCGGGCGGCACACCATCCCGCCGGTAGGTGGCGGGGCGGGCGGCACACCATCCCGCCGGTAGGTGGCGGGGCGGGCGGCACACCTTCCCCGCCGGTAGGCGACGGGGCGGGCGGCGCACCACTCCGCTAGTTGGTGGCGGGACGCGCCGCACGCTAGCTTCCTGTCCTCCAGCGGAACGATGAGAGTGGGGGGGGGGGGGGGGGGGGGGGGGGTGACATTTCGTGGGAGCCATATGGCTATGTGCAAAATGACATTGAGCTGATTTAGCGAAGGAAATGCGCGCCCAAAACGTTTTGGCACGTGACGGAAATTGAACTCAAAGCAGTCCGTCCTTCGAATCGGCCACCCCTGGCCAGACCGTCGTCTCGCCCGCAGGGGAGCCGTCAGCCCGCCACCGGCATCACCACAGGTCCATCGGGTCCTCGCGACGCACTTCGCCCGGTGGCGGCGTCTCTAGCTCCGGTCGACACGACTCCGACGCCGGTCGCCGCCGCTCCAGCTCCGGTCGTCGCCGCTCCAGCTCCGGCCGCCGCCGCTCCAGCTCCGTGGAGCCGCCGGGCAGCGGCCGGCGCGCCTCTCAGCCCGCCTCCGGCGGCGCGCCGGGCGAAGCGGGCGGCGCTCCGAGCACTGCCCCGGGCAGTGCTCCGGGCACTGCCACGGGCAGCGGCGGAGCCCCTGGTGGCGCGCGGGGTAGCGGCACTGATGGGGAGCACTCTGACGAATTCGACGATGTTCGCGATCGCCACTGCCCGCCCGACTCATCCGGCAGCCCGGATGTGGACGGGGGACGGGGGCGCTCGCACTCCGCCGAGCGGGCGGACGGCGCTGCCGGCGGCAGCGGCGGCCAGCGGCGCCCCTCCAGCGGCGGCCAGCGGCGCCCCTCCAGTGGTGGCCGGCGCAGCTCGTCGGCCGAGGCGGCGCCGGCCGACGGCGCCGACGCCGACACGCCGGACGACGGCCGGGACGGCCCGTCCTCGCGGCGCGCCAGCGGCGCCGGCCTCAGCTCGTCAGACTCGATGTGAGTCGGCCGAGGCGGGACGAGGGAGGCGCGACCCGGGCCCGCGAGCTGTGCGACGTACTGTGCCGTCTGTGGTGTCGTGGGGTGCAGCATGACAGAGGTGCGGTGGCCATACTCACTGTCCTTCAAATCGGCCTATTGCAGCTGGTTTGCCGTTGAAGGGAGCACGCCTCTGTCGTGTGGCCACACTGCCTGTTTCTGGCTTGTACCGTGGTTGATGGTGTCTATCCTGCTGCGGCTGCCGGCCATACACCAGGCCGGGTGTTTGTGTGCCGCTCCGACGTCTGACGACTGCCGAGCGCGTGTCTCTGGCCGGGCTCGTGAGGCGCAACGGGACCCACCCGGCGGCGACTTCAGTTTCATGACCCATAAATCGGTGTGAATGTCGACTCGGATCTGGGCTGATCGGGTATTGGTAGTGGGCATATTGTACACAGCCCATTGCGAGGCCACTGGCGTATACCCGCCAAGAGCAATGGTTACTGTTGGTTGCGGGGCGGAAGATGGGGCGACAGATTCTGTTTACCGTTACGTTGTTTGAAACAGGATCTCACCGCTCATTGTTATTGGAAAACATTGGCCCGCAATGCGACGAGACCTTTCGAGGTGTCTGTTCATATCAAGGAGAGTGTTTCGCATAGCTGATGGCAGGGGCCGCGGCTGACTCAGCCCCCGTCGGTGCTGCCACCCAGTGGCCTCAGCAGCGGCTCTGACTCGGAGACGGGCGAGAGGCGGCGCCACAGTCGCCGCGGCACGCTGAGCGAAGTGGCCGAGCAGCGGCTGCGCCAGTCTGGCCGCCAGTCGGCCGTCTCCATCGGCTCGGGTGTCGAGGGCTCGGCAGTGCTTGCCGATTACACCAGCCTCGACAAGCTGCAGAAGAAGGTCAGTCACCCGCTGACGTTGGGGGCGCTCCTGCTGTCGGGTGAGGGATGCCGGCTGCTGGAGGAGGTCAGTCACCTGCTGATGCCGGAGGCTCTCCTGCTGTCGGGTGAGGGATGCCGGCTGCTGGAGGAGGTCAGTCACTTGCTGACATCGGAGGTGCTCCTGCTGTCGGGTGAAGGTCGCCGGCTACAGAAGAAGGTCAGTCACCCGCTGACGCCGGAGGCTCTCCTGCTGTCGAGTGAGGGTCACCGGCTGCTGCAGGAGGGAAGCGTAGTCGCTGAAGAGAGACGCGTAAAATGCACCCGCGGCATGGTTTTCCAGCCCTGTTGTCGCTGTAACGGGTGATAGCAGCAATATCGCATTCCTTCGAAAAATGCACACATACGGCGAAGTCGGAATGGTGCACAAGGCATTCCAGTTATGTCCAGGCCCAGTTGCCGCAAAGTTCCACGCAGGCATTACGGCCGGTAACCTGTCACCGTTTTGTTTGTAGCAGCAGCCTGTACGACCGAATTCGGGTGGTTTCTGCAAACGGGCGATATGCGTGAAAGTGACAGGCCGACATAAAGCTTGCCTTCTACCTACTAATTACCTAGTGCATACCATTGGGCCACATAGCATGCCTACGACTAGGCTGATGCTTACCTCCTACTCACTTATTGCTTACGACATACTGCTGGGACACATAGATTGGCCACTGCCTGGTCGGTGCTTGCCTTCTACCCACTTACTACCTACTGCATGCTACCGCGGCCACATAGGTTGCCTACTACTGGCTTGATACTTGCCTTCTACCCACTTATTACCTACTACATACCACCGGCCCACATAGCCTGGCTTCTGCCGGGTGGGTACTTGCCTGTGGGTCATTATCGGGCTTCTACCTCCTACGTGTCGAGGGTTATTGTTAGCGATCGGAGCTGGTCAGCATGACCGGCTCTCTGGAGCAATAAGCGGGGTAAAGGAGTGGGTAGTACCCCTGGTCACAGCTGCTTTGACCGACACCAACCGACTGGAAAATGGGGACAGTCGAGTGAAGCGATACTGCTGATCATCAGAGCTGTTTCCGAGCCTCGGCTGACTGGGACAGGAGCTGCCGGGGGCGAGGTGGTGCTCCTGATCGGCTGAACAGGGGCGGTCAGAGACCCGTGTTGGTTCCCAGGGTATCCACCTTCCCCGTATGTGGGGCCAGGCAGGCTGTGGGACGGACCGGCTGGAAACAAAACGCGGCGAGGTCTGGGTCTTTACGGGTCATTGGGCACCCTGCCAAGTGCTGCTTTGGGCGGGTGCAAAAGCGTAATGGACCGACTGAAAGGGAATGTCGGGGTGGCAGGGATGGCGTATGTGTGCGCTGTGGGGCAGTGTTCCAGTACTCGGCCACTTGGGTGGCAGGGATGTCGATATTTTTCATGCTATAATATTCCGGCTTTGGGCTCACTGCCTGTGGCCCCTCACGCTGACCAAAATCGGCCAATCAGCATCGAACTGGGAGGCTGTCAAACCAGTATCTATGCGCCTCAGCTTTGACAAACGGGCTGAAAAGGTCAAATGTCTAGGTCGGGGTCAAAGGCAACGGATTAGCACCAACGAATTGCGTGCGGAGGTCGCCGAAGAGGCAGGATTCTAATAGGATAAATTCATATTTGCATCTTGTACACCCTACTGGACGAATTTTGGAAAGCTGCTATAGGGTCGCTGCGCGGGCTTAGTAGGCCAGTCTTACTCCGCTCGAGGTGAAAGGAGGGGGGAGGCGTGAGGATACGTTTTCACGCTTGACGCTGACTTGTAGTGTGGGCCGTTTCGAGGCATTAGTGAAACGGTTAAGTTGACAGCAGTTGACAGTTGAGCGGTTGTGACTTGAGCTGACCAATAAAACCCGTTCACAGAATGTTTGTGGCATCGAACTCCTCGTGTTGGCTAGCCCGAAACCGGGCTTATGTAACCCAGTTTTGGGCAGACCTGAGGACGTTGACTTAAACCGACAGAAACTTTCGTCCCTACTGAACTGCCATCCTGCCATACTTATGTGTTCCTCTTTTCCCCTCGGTGTCGCCTTTGTTTGCAGTTGTTTGCAGTTGTTTCCCCTACATTTGGTAGCAATGCAGCATGCGTATGATACATCATGCATATGCCGGCATGTCAAGGTTAACTCAGTTTAGTTCCCGACACGATTCCTCTGCGCATGGGGGCGCTCCACAGAGATGAACCTCTGAACATAACAGCCGCGTGCAGGGTACACCCGCTCCTGGAATACAATCGACGCCAGCAATACGTCGCTTTCTCTACTGTAGTGGTGCGGAACAGCCGAGATCGTGTATGTGCCCGGCATAAAGTTCGCCGCGTTGTGTTTATACGGCCGTTCACCCGTCGCCGCGCCTGTTGCAGCTGGGAGAGGTGGAGGAGAAGCTGGACGTGTTGGACATGGCGGAGATGCTGCCCAAGCTGCGGGAGTTCCAGCAGGCGCTGAGCGGCTCGCAGGAGGATGTGCAAGGTCGGTGGTAAGCGGCGCGCCGGGCCCGCCACTCAGCCCTGGTGAGGGGGGGGGGGGCTCCACATACGGCTGTGTCACGAGGAGTCGGACGCCACCGCCCGGCGTCGAGGCGGCGGGCGCCAGCTGTGAGAGGGATGGCCGGCTTCGTAAGCGTGTGGTCGGAGGCCGGCTTGCGGGCCGACAAGCGACGTCCGCCATGCACGTGACGTAGTTATGACGAAGCGCCCGGCCAGCTGACTGTTGCCGAGGGTGTCTTCTGCGCCCTGCCTGGCACATCCACCCTATCTAGTACGCGATATGCTTTCTTTCGAGCGTCTTTCTTTCTTTCGAGCGCCTTTCGTTTCACTTTTAACCTCGCTTTCCGAATCCTAGGACCGCGTCTGCCACGCTCGTTTTGTTATACTGGAACAGCCATACTCAGGCTGCCACCGCCTGACTCACTGGCAGTCTCAGGTTCACCTACAACCACACTAGTCACTGCGTATCATTCCGGGGAAATCACCCCTTTGGCACGATCGCCAAATTACGCTGGGGTGCGTTCTTAATATCACGCCCTGGAGCCGTCCCCACGCATGCTGTGTAAATGACATCTCAATACAACATCCGCTGCGCAGAAAATTCTGTCACGAAAGTCAGCACAATTTTACAGCCTGTTCCAAACCATTTCAAGTAAGAAATCAGCGAAACTCCCCAGTGGGAATCGACCCCCGGCTGGCAAAGGGTAAAGCAACACCAGGGATGGTCTGCCCCCACCCCCTTCTCTTGCTCGCACGCCACGGGGCAGCCAGAGCGACGGGCGTTTGCCGGCTCGTTACTGCTTGGACGAAATCTCCAACTAGTTTCCGAAACGTCTATTCATGTCGGTGGTTATGACTTCTTGACGTCTGTTTGCACGGTTGGAGCTCGTGACGTCATCGGTGGTTAACAGACGTGACGTCACGGAGTGCTGTCAAACCAAGTATCTGAGCGTGTCATGTGCGTGGCCGTGCTCACTCTGTGTTGTTCAACAACATTGCGATGCCTTGTCCATTGATGCCCATAATTTCATGAGGGGAGTGGTTTTGTGTCTTTTTTTGGAACCAATTGCGTGTATAACATGTACATATTTTGTGTGATTAGTCTGAGAAAGCATTCTGAATGATGTGTGCATGATGTCTGCATGCCTGTCCATGCTTTTCTGTCTCGAAAAGCAGGTAAAACCAGACTGACCCCGACGTGATTTGAACACGCAACCTTCTGATCTGGAGTCAGACGCGCTACCGTTGCGCCACGGAGTCGTGCCTGTGATTGAAGGGGGTGTGAGTTCGCGTGTGGCTCGGGGTACAGTGCCTGCCTAGATAGCCAGGCTGCTCTGGCTGGGAGGCACCCTTAACTCGTGTGCGTAGTTTACTCCCACCGCCACGGCCGGCTGCCATTCGATGCTGGAGCGGGGCTTCGCCACCGACGGGACGGCCAGGTGGCGCAGCGGCGGCCGTCTGGCGGTCAGTCGATAGGAACCCGGCCCGCCATCGAACGCCGCCCGCCTGGCAGGCACAGCTCTGGCGCTCTTCCAGACCTCTTGAGCTGATGGTGTTGTTAACAGAGGCCAGACATGTCTAGGGTGCACCTGGGCTTGTGAACCGGAGGCATGGATGGGCCGAGGCCGCGTAGGCACGGGTGGGCCGAAACTGAAGCATTAGGGCTACTCGTGCCCGTCCTACACGGTTTCTGTCCATGCCAGACAAGCGCCGTTCATCACAGGTCTGTGGCAGTCGCTGCAGCTGATGAAGAAGGTGGACGCTAACGAGGAGGGCATCGACAAGCTGACCGGCATCATCGAGCACACCATGAGCAAGCTGAAGAAAGTCAAGAAGCACACGGATCGACTAGATAAACAGCTGAGCGTAAGGCGACAGAGGCGCTGGAGCTACGACAGGGGAGCCTCGGCTCATCATGGATGATTTGGGACCGTGTTTTGCTTTCAGACGCCTTTTTTCTACACTACGGTGTCACTAATGTAGCAGCAGTGAGACTCCGAGGCTTCATTGTTTTCAGCTTTGCGAAAGTGCTACGGACGTTATGCTACTGAATGGTATTTTGAGAATGTCTGGGTTTTTATAGTTCAAAGAGATCGCTCATGCTAGTTTGCGCACTAACGGACGCAGATTCTTGTATTACAAGTAATGATGTCCCAAAAGCTTTCGCTGGGCCGTTGTAACAGCCCGAAAAAGCGTATTGCCAGGAAAAGACATGGGGGCTTTCGCTGGATGTTGTGGCCCGGCCCGATGCATTTCAAGCCAAGCGTTGAAAACATCAATCCTACAGACCGGGTGGAACAAAACAACTGTGAGAGAGCCAGTTTACCCTTGTGTTATAATGTAGTTCATGCCAGTTAATTTGTAGCCTTTTCGCCCAAGATAAGTGCATACTAAACGGTAATCGATGGATATTGTTAAGTATATGCGGTGATTGTGTGTATCTTTTGTTTTTCCGTCCTTAGTTTTAGCCTTGGGCCTGTGAAGATGGACATTAAAAGTACGCCTATAGCCTTGGGCCTGTGAAGATGGATATTAAAAGTACGCCTGAGACCTTGTTGTGCCCAAAATCGTCTTAACATCCGACCACGACTCCACGACTTCCAGGAGTCTTCCGCTGCGGTGTCTTCCCTACTGCTGCCCTTCCTTGCTCCCCAGTCAGTACTCCTCGCCGTGTCCTGACCCCTCCTCACCTCTCCGCCGCCAGGAGCTACTCGGAATGGCGGGCGAGAAGGGTGAAAAACCGGTCTCGCTCGCCGACATGGAGACCAAGTACGTCGAGATCAAGAACGTGATCGCCGGCTTGATGGGCGTTGCGCAGGTAGGCAGTCGGCGCCGTCGGCCGCACTGCTCCGTTGTGGCCGAGCCGTGCTGGCTGTGCGCAGGTAGGCAGTCGGCGCCGTCGGCCGCACTGCTGCGCGGAGGCCGAGCCGTGCTGGCTGCGGCGGCCACGGGACACCGCTATGGCATAGCTAGGGGAGCCCGCCGGGCATATTCGGGCACCCGCTGAAAAGTGGTGAACTTCGGTAACAATGTTGGACGGCAACGTAGCTTTTTGTGTTCAGCTTTAGCTCGGCTATGGCATTTGTATTATTATCCTGCTGTTAAGAACCTACCTGCTGTGTTTCTTTTTTTTCTCGTCATTTCCTAAAAAGGCTTTTTATTATTTGGCATGATAACACAGGGTACCCTTTTTGCAACCCACAATTGTCTTCAGCTCCATGTATGATGAGCGGAAAATTCGCCATTCTGTCGCGAAATTCCGGAATTTTATGTCGGAAAACTCAAAGGTATCGCGAAGGCGAGGACGAGGGTCGCATTAGATGGCGGACTTGTAGTTTTATTTGCGGAAATTCATTTGCTGAAAAACAGCGCACAAAAGAGCGGGAAGATGGCGTCAATGCAGCCAGATCTATTGCACATGCTGTCCAGCAAACCAGCGTCATAACAGACGTTTCAGGGCGAGGGAAGTTCGGCACTGATCCCTTGTTTTCATGAGCAATAACATCCCTTCGCCTTCTCGCCCACTGCGGCGCGAGGAAGCCGCCGCCTGGCGGCGGTTGCGGTGGCCGGTCAGCAGACACTAAGGGACACGCGGATCGTGGGTATTGGCGGCTGAGGCCGTGAGGTCGCGGCCGTTGGCCGCGCGTCCCAGCCGAGAGGCTGTGCGAACGAACGTCGCCTAACGCAGACCAAGCGATGAGTGTTGCTGAGGCCGCCAGCGTCTGCAGGTCCTCTTCTCACCGATGTCGCTCCGTGGGGGGCTGGGCTCGGCGTGTGTTAGGGGAATCAAACATGGCTGATACACGGGGCATCGCTTGGATCCGTTAGCGGTCTGGACCGCCTTAGCGTTTTAGTTTGCGCACGCGATTTCCATTTCGAGGTAGAAACAGGGGCGCTGCGGGAGCATTGTTTTGCGAAGTCTCTGCCTGACTGTCCAAAAAGGTCTGCCGGCGACAGCTGGTCAAACGTCACCAATCTGGCCGGGACGGCCGTGGCCGAGTTTTGGCCGACTGACGGGAGAGGTGTGCTCTCGGCGGGCCGGACCGGGGCCAGCCTGAGGCCCGCCAGTCGGGGCCGGAGTACGCACAGCACGGACAGGATAGGTGTGCTCTCGGCGGGCCGGACCGGGACCAGACCGGGGCCAGCCTGAGGCCCGCCAGTCGGGGCCGGAGTACGCACGGCACGGACAGGAGAGGTGTGCTCTCGGCGGGCCGGACCGGGGCCAGACCGGGGCCCGCCAGTCGGGACCGGAGTACGCACAGCACGGACAGGAGAGGTGTGCTCTCGGCGGGCCGGACCCTGGCCAGACCGGGGCCCGCCAGTCGGGACCGGAGTACGCACAGCACGGACAGGAGAGGTGTGCTCTCGGCGGGCCGGACCCTGGCCAGACCGGGGCCCGCCAGTCGGGACCGGAGTACGCACGCCACGGACAGGAGAGGTGTGCTCTCGGCGGGCCAGACCGGGGCCAGCCTGAGGCCCGCCAGTCGGGACCGGAGTACGCACAGCACGGACAGGAGAGGTGTGCTCTCGGCGGGCCGGACCCTGGCCAGACCGGGGCCCGCCAGTCGGGACCGGAGTACGCGCGGCACGGACAGGAGAGGTGTGCTCTCGGCGGGCCGGACCCTGGCCAGACCGGGGCCCGCCAGTCGGGACCGGAGTACGCGCGGCACGGACAGGAGAGGTGTGCTCTCGGCGGGCCAGACCCTGGCCAGACCGGGGCCCGCCAGTCGGGACCGGAGTACGCGCGGCACGGACAGGAGAGGTGTGCTCTCGGCGGGCCGGACCGGGACCAGACCGGAGCCAGCCTGAGGCCCGCCAGTCGGGACCGGAGTACGCACGGCACGGACAGGATGGGTGTGCTCTCGGCGGGCCGGACCGGGACCAGACCGGAGCCAGCCTGAGGCCCGCCAGTCGGGACCGGAGTACGCGCGGCACGGACAGCCCCCTGCAGCCCTGTCGGATGTGGAGCATGTGGCGGATATCCATTATGCCATGAGCTGAGTGCGCAGGCTGGATGGTGGCATCACGGAGCAGGCAGCGAGCCACGCTTGGCATGGGCCATGAACACAAAATATCATCCATTGAAATCATTCGCCATCACTTTTCTGGGAGGCGGGAGCGGCTGGGTGAACCTCGAGCAGAGAATCGATGGGAATAGGGCGTTGGAGCATGGGGGCAAAATTATGTGTTTAGGAATGGCGAGTTTCGGGTGCGAGCTGGTGGCTCAAGTCCGGATTCTGCATTAATTTCCTACACTCACTTATCGTCTACTTTGCGTACTTGTAGATTACTTTGATTATTGGCATTATGCTGGTGTAGTGTACCGATTGTCCGCCACTTAGTTATTCGCTGCTTTGCGTACTTGCATCTTACTTTGGTCTTTGGTATTATGCTGGTGCGAGTGTATTCGTTAGGGAAGCGGTGTGCCTGAGCGACATTTTGTCTTCTGAGTGACGTGTCCGTCTGGCGTGTGCTGGCCGTTGTTTGAGTGTAATGGTAAGACAAGCTGGCTATGCATATAACTAGCTCCCTGGCCAAACGAGTGGATCCAAAATTTTGTCGCTGCGTTCTGACCAGCGTAAAGGCTGGTTCTCAATCAAGTTTTGGGTCGGACCTGGTGATGGTGCCAGCGCACCCCTGTTCCTCCGCTCGACACTTGCACTGCACACATCCCTGGCCGGCAGCAGCACCCTCCCATTAGCCGTCCATAACCGGGCGGTGTGTGCAGGAGGGCGGCATGCCGGCCGCCTCCTCAGACGACCTGCGCTCGCTCGGCGCCGGCATCGTCACCTGGAGCGGGCTGGAGGGCGCCCTGGAGGACGTCAAGGGCGACCTCAAGGCCATGGACCAGCTCAGCGACGAGACTCTGAAGGCGGTGGAGCAGCAGCAGACGGAGGCCCGGCAGCAGGTCAGCGGTCCCCGGCGCAGGCTGCGATGACTCGCTCTCCTCGGAGATGACCCGCGCAGCTCCAGGGTGGCACGATCGGTCACTCTTACCTGTCTACAGTTGCGTACAGTGGCATACAGTTGCGTACAGTGGCATGCAGTTGCGTACAGTGGTATACAGTTGCGCGCAGCATACCGTCTATTAATTTGTAGGCGGCTGTGTCTTGTGAGCGGTTTACTGTTGCGGCCTCCGGCGCCGGTGGACCGCGCCAGCCAACTGCGAGCAGAAGGCTGAGTGGGCCCTGGTCCGGTTACGTGACCGAAGATTGAAGGCCACCTGTTTGTCATCTGCTGGCATGGACAGAGCTATCTAGCCACTGCCACCTGATGGGATAATGGAGGCTAAGGAGGCTATGCCCGCCGCAACATATTGGGGGGCGGGGGGGGGGAGGGGCGTAGAAATTACGCGGCAAATACGCTACACGCTTTTAGTGAGCAAGGAAACCGAATGACACCCCATCTGTCGGCGACCGCAGGAACTGATCGAACAGGGTGGCCATGCGTCGAACAGTGAGACAAAGGCGAAGCGGTTACTGGCCCACCTCAGCGAGCTGCTGGACAAGCATAAGATTCTAGAGAAGCGTGTGTCCCAAATGGAAGCGGCCCTAGGAGGTGAGGCCTCAGTCCCAGTCTCAAGACGTGGCTGGGTGGTCGGTTAAATGGCCTTTGCCTGGGTGGGGATCAATTTGCCTCCATGAGATCTCAAAAGTAAGAAAGCTAGAGACACAAAATTTACAGGGTGTGAATTCGGTGTCTGTAACTGAAAAGCCGCTGGTCCTCATTTAAGGTCAGTGAAATTTTGGCCTGCATGTAAACCGACTTTTGTGTCAAATCTTGAAATTCCTAAGTCATGACCGATGGGTCAAATAAGATGAGACAACGTCAAACTCTAGATTCTCTAGATTGATGTTGAAAATGTGCCAGCCCTTTTCTTGCATTTGCTCTGCATCTAGATACATGTTCTAAGCAAAAAGTCGCTGCTCATGTAAGGCCGTTGAAATGTTTTTGACCTTTATAAGATCATGACGACCAAAGTCATACCATACTGCTTTCATTTTTGCATTTGAATAAGCGTCCTGGATTACACTAGGCGGTATTTGCCGAAGGACAAAATGTTAAACTGGTTTATTTTAGGGCAATGGCCTATTTGAACGTTCAAGAAGTTCACGAAAGATGTATTATGCGGTTCCTGTCATTAATAAATTTCAAATGCGCACAATAAGCTACCACACACAGCACGCTCCAGACTATTATAACAGGTTTATTTTGGCGTTGTTCTGACCTTCATAGCCGACCCTAGGTAGATAGAGCTTGTTCGTTCTATTGTTGTGTGTCCTAGAAAACTATCTCAGACATATATGACTTGGTCTAACACTCATCAGATTGCATCAGATTTAGCCGTTCCCGACTTTATGAGAAACACTTAATTTTTGGACAAAAACGTCACTTACTTTCTACACATATACAAGAGTTGGCATATTCGCCGCTCGGAAATGATTCCAAGAAAAAACCTTCGGGGTGGGGGAGGGGTAAACTGACTGCCACCCGAGTGCGTATTAAACCTGCTTGGCGTTTGACTTTAGAAAATGTCCAGTGGGGGATCCATTTTGGCTTCTGGACCTGACGTCACTCTTTGGAAAGGAAATCTTACGTGTACACGCACACGTACACGCACACTCACACTCACACCCCCACTCATTCGTGCACACCCACACCCCTACCCACACGTGCACATCCACACACCCCACGCCCCACACCCACACGTGCACAACCACACCCGCACGCGCACACCCACACCCGCATGCGCACACCCCTACCCACACCCATACCCCCACCCCCACCCGCACGCACACACCCACACCTATAGCCGCACGCACACACCCACACCCATAGCCGCACGCACACACCCACAACCGCACGCAGGCATGCACGCATGCACGCACGCACGCACGCACGCACGCACGCACGCACACACCCACACCCATAGCCGCACGCACACACCCACAACCGCACGCAGGCATGCACGCATGCACGCACGCACGCACGCACGCACGCACGCACGCATGCATGCATGCAATGCACACATGCACACATGCACACATGCACACATGCACACATCACACATGCACACACACACACACACACACACACACAACACACACACACACACACACACACACACACACACACACACACACACACACACACACACACCACACACACACACACACACACACACACACACACACACACACACACACACACACGCGCGCGCGCGCGCGCACGCACGCACGCACGCACTAGCGGTTGCCTCGTATAATGACGATCAGCGCGTGGTCGGATCCTGTGTCCTGGATGGTGAGGTCCCCTTTTTCTCACGCATCTGTCACTTGGCTCGGCAGACAACTTCTCCGACAAGGTGATAGAGCAGCTCACCCTGCTGAAGGCTTCCGCCTCCCAGATCCAGGAGCTGCGTATGAAGCTCAGTAAGTCACGCCTGTGAGATCGCGCGGGTCACGCGGTGCCGGCCTACCGCAGCTTCGTTGGCGGGCGGCGCGCGAAGGCTCCCTCTGCAGCGTCCGACCAATAGCCGCGCCCCCGGCGAGATGGCGCGCCGGCTGGGGTACCCCCGCCCGCCGTGTCCGAGTCCTAGCCTGGCCGAAGCTGAGCGCGCAGGGCTCAGTCCGTGCGCACGTCCGTGTGCTCAGTCCGTGTGATTGTGTGCCTGCGTCCCGGGGTCCTCGCGCTGGCCGTGCGGCTGGGGCGTCACGGCCAGCCGGGCCCGACGCCGCCTGTCGCGCGGAAGGGCCTTGTCCCGCCGCATCGGACTGTGACCTGACCTTCAGAGCAGCTCGGCGGCTGACATGGCGGCAGTGCACTCATGCAGTGTTCAAACCGGCCGCGGGCTGTGACCGTGACCTGACCTGACCTGAGCGTGACCTGACCGGACGTGACCTCAGGCATGACGGAGAAGGAGCAGAGTGGCGGCTGGAGCGACCTGGACGTCGTGGCCGAAGGTCAGCTCGAATTAGTGCCTCGTCTCGGCCGCGGTGTCTCTGCTGCGTTCTCACCGTATCGGAGATGATGTCTTATTTTCATCATGGATTAACTGTTCTCGGTTGACGCTGCTGTTTGAGCCACCTTGGCCGTAATGGTAGGCACTATTGGGCCATCACACTTCGTCTAAGTATCTTTCATCACACCTCACACGCGTCACATTTTATCACACGTCATCAAACTTCTCTTCAATATCTTTCAAACACTATCCTTTTCCATACAGGCGATGCTTCGTCGCCGATATGCTTCGCTATCGGCAAGTATTCGCACACGCGTCATTCACCCGCCTTGGTGACCTTTGTGTTGCGCACCCCGTAATGTTGTCCGCGTCCCCCGGCTGGTCCCCGTTCCACTCCCTCCCCCCCCCCCCCCCCCACGCCGAGTGACGCCATTTCGCCGTGGCCCGGCCAGGCTCGCTACACCGGCAGGGGAGAGTAGCAGCCAGGGCAGCTTCGTCGGCCCGTCACTGTCGCTGAATCTCACTAGCCTCCGCGAGCCCTCGCAGATGGACCTCAACCACCTGACCGACTGGCTCAACTACAACAAGGCGCGCATGGAGCAGCTGGAGAAGGCGCTCGTCTCCCAGTCGGAGCAGGTGAGGCGGCGGATGACGTCACGCATCCTCTGGTGACGTCACGGCTGCCGCTTACCCGTCTCCATGGAGATCGATCAACTAAGGCGGTTGAGCTGCGATTCTTCCACTGTCTAGGCTGGTGGGTTAGGTTTACCCTGAATAAGCGAGTAATCATGAGCTCTTAAGTGAATGCACAATTTTTTATCTCTGGCTTAGCTGTGTTGATGTGTTTTGGAGGATCTTTTTGTAAACTCCGCGCTGTGTCCCGCTTGTGGTCGTCGCTTTCAGCTAACTCGAGGTGACCGTGTCTGCACCGGGTGCGGGAATCGGTGACCGTCTGGGGGACCAGGTGATCTCGTGTGTCCGCGGACCCGAGGTAACCGTGCCCGTGCCAGGTGCGTGACTTCGGTGACCGTCTGGGGGACCAGGTGATCTCGTGTGTCCGCTGACCCGAGGTAACCGTGTCTGTGCCAGGTGCGAGACTTCGGTGACCGTCTGGGGGACCAGGTGATCTCGTGTGTCCGCTGACCCGAGGTAACCGTGCCCGTGCCAGGTGCGGGACTTCGGTAACCGTCTGGGGGACCTGGTTGTCTCGTGTGTCCGCTGACCCGAGGTAACCGTGTCCGTGCCAGGTGCGGGACTTCGGTGACCGTCTGGGGGACCAGGTCGTCTCGTTCCGTGACAAGCTGGAGCGGGTGGAGCGCGAGCTGGCCGGCATGCTCGGCCGCCTCTCCTCGGCTGCCAACAAGCCCGGTGAGCGCTGACCACCTAACGCTAGAACTGTCCCCAGCTGCGCGCGGCGTCAGAGGCCCACTGTCACATCATAACACCGGTCTGTTCCGTTCGGAACCATTCTTTGGGGATGTTTGTTGCAGTTTCCGTGCCGTCTTGCGCATTATCTGGCGTTCAGGCGAGTCAGGCGCCGCCGACAGTGAGGCGCTTGTGGCGTGTTTGGAAGGCCGGGTGACGTAGTGCCTCAGCCCGTCGAGCGGGCGTCCCAGCCTCGGCCCTCAGGGCACTCCGTCCGGTCTCCGCCGGCAGGCATGACGCGCGAGGACGCCGCTGCCTTACACGACGCCTACGCCAAGATCCAGGCGCTGCAGATGGACGTCGAGTCGCTCAGCGCCGTCTCCAAGAAAATCGTCGACGACCGCGGCCAGATCGACGACGAGCTGGCGGTGGGTGAACGCTCGCAGCGCCTTCTGGTGCGGCATGTTCGAGGGGCTCTCTCCGCCTTCGCTGAAGTGCTGAATGTCGGGCAACTCTTGGTTGCCGCAGGGGAGCGACCCATGGGCCAGTGGGCGCGGCCGTTCAGATGAATGGTCCCTGAACTGCGTGTGAGGATTGGAGATAAGCTGTCACGGGAGAGCTGTGTGGGGTTCGGACGGCGAGGTTCGTCTCAGCTGCACACAGTATCGTTGTCTCTCCTGGAGACGTCTGCCCTCTCCGTTTCGGCGGATCGGACATACCGCCCACGTTGCTCGGTTGGTGGGTGCTCAGACACCCCAGGGACGTGGGATCCTCATTAAGAGTGGGGCCAACCCCATCTCGAAACAAGTTCTTTTCGTGCACAGCCTTGGAGCCGATGCTAAACTTTCATTTGATGTGGCGGCACATCCCTGTCCCTGTTTTACGCCCAGGCCTCCCCCGAGCACAGCCAACCGTCTGTCCGCCGTGAGGCAGACAAGAGGGCTGGCGTACCAGACACATCGCTGTGTCTGGTACTGGCGTAGCAGACGCAGCGATGTGTCAACGACGATGGGTTCGTCATTGACCACGGCGATCACATTGGCACGACGCGGGTATTCACAGCTTCGCAAGACATTGGAATTTCAAAGCTGATATGGATAAAGAGAGTCAAGTTTTCTTTCGAGATGGCATGGTTATGATGGTGGCATGTCAAGGTTTTTGCAGCAAGCCATGCTTGCTGACGCTGCTGCATGCTTGGGCACGTCTTTGACCAAAGCCATCCCTGTCGAACTGTCCCTCAAACTTCTGGTCTAAAAATCGTTAACGGCGTCGTTCCCTTGCACGACCTGTTCCGAGGCCAGGTAAGCACTTGATGGGGGCTGATTTGAGACGATCTCCCCACCAAATGTGCTGCCCCAGTCGGGCTTTGAACACGCAGCCTTCCTTCTGAGCGTTTGCGATGATCACTTCAGGATTAGTCGTCTCTAAAGTCGCTTGCAAGCCAGGACAGGTTGCCAGGCCCCAAGCTATGGGTACGGATAAGATCATCTAGGTCCTAACTTCCTTCATGTGTCAGCCGTGGAGCATAGCCCGTGGCAATCGACACACAACTGATTGTAAATCTCTCATGGTCTCAATCGTGTCCGCTGTTTTCAACAGCTGTGTGCCGGATCCTCAGCGAGTGGATCAGTTGGTGACAAAACGTGGAGGTCCCTGTACTTCCCGCCACCTGTGCCGTTCACCAAGGGCATCCCGCGGCGTGGCGCACGGCTCAAATCCCGTTAGATAAGTATGAATGTCCCCGGTGTAAAGGCTCCCGGTATAAATGTCGTACACAGTTTGAGGAAATAGCTCATTGTTGACGGTGCGCCACTCAGATCTCGCAACGTAGATGCCATTGTGCCCAGGTAAAACCAGACTGACCCCGACGTGATTTGAACACGCAACCTTCTGATCTGGAGTCAGACGCGCTACCGTTGCGCCACGGAGTCACACAGGCAGTGGATGATGACGGTTATCTGGTGGTCTGCGCCTCTGCCTTTGCCGAAATCATAGCCGTGGTTTTTCAAACTGGGCTGGGGGCTGAACAGCTTGAATGAAAAATACACACAACATACGCCATTAAGCAAGTCCCTCTCAGGACTTGACCAGTTCTCTTCTCAAAGTTGGGGAATGGGCCGAAGTCCAAGTTAGGGGAATTGAGTCTTCCAACTGAACAGGAAAAGACGTCAAAAACGATGCAAAAACACCATACAAATGTGGAACACTCTTTGATAGGCATTTAATAGGAAATAGCACCCCACTGCTGTTGGTTGTACCGACCAAAGCGAATGTCACGCGCCATACCCGTACTGCCGAAACGCCACCGTGGCGTTTTCGCCCATATAGTTTCCGTGACATCTGCCTTACCGCCGAATAAGGCCCTTGATAGAGCATGCGATGTTCGTCAGATTTGCAGAACTGCACCGTCTGTGACCCGGTCTGGGAACGGAAGGGCCATCGTGTCTGAAAAACCAGACTGACCCCGACGTGATTTGAACACGCAACCTTCTGATCTGGAGTCAGACGCGCTACCGTTGCGCCACGGAGTCCTACAGTTAGTGAAATTGTGACTATCTGGTGGCCTTCACGTCTGACTGTACCGGAACCATTCGTCACCCGTCTGTGCGCCGGAACGTCTTGTGGCGGTCACCATGGGTATCACTCTCCAAAACCGACTGGAAAGCCCGATAAGGTTGGCCTAACCTGTCCCCAAAAACTGCTTTCCCGGATGTTGGCCCCCCATGGTGCGTCGCTCATAATAAATGTATACTTTTGAAAGATTTCTTCATGTCCCAAAATCGCTTTGCTGCGGATGAACTACTTTCTTCAATCAATGTGCGGCAGCAGTTTTGTGAAACGTTCAGAATATGACGCAATTCATAGGAAAAAGCCTATTAACAGCTTAAGCCCTTGTGGTTAACGAAAGTAGGTATCTTTGATCGTTCATTGGGCGTGGCGGAAGGCACAAAAAACAGTTGTATGTAGCTTGGCGTCTCCCGCCACATACGAAAGAGAGCCTGTGGGAGATTTCTTAGCACACTGGCGTGATTGTACCGATAGATAAAGGCAGAACCGACCTTACACGACCTTCTCAACCGGCATGTCGATAACTGGACGGACGAAGTTGGAAGACTGGTGATCGAACGAATTTCCGGGGGGGGGGACGTCTTAAACATAGCGTGACTCATGCTCTGACACGTCTTTGAAGCTAATTAGCAAGACAGGTCTGGAGTCTTGGTGCTTCAGATGATGAGTTGGCAGTTCTTGTGAGCAAAATGATTGACCATCAGTATATCAAAAGGTAGTGGTTGAACGTTAAACAAAACTTTTGTAGCATTTGTAATCTGTAGTTGTCATTATTATTACCTGTATTGTCATATCATATATGTCTGTATTTAAATCAGATGTTTCGAAGCAGTGCGCATGGTGAGGGCCATTGGCGAGTCGATCGACAGCACTTCAGGGCTGTTTTCTCTCTGGGATACACGGCAGAAATTATGAAGAATTTATGCCTTGTTCGTTCCTCGACACCCTTGTGTTACGATCGGGTGGAACATACACCGCCGAGCTGTATTTAAAATCATCCTGTCGACGATGAGAAGGGTCTGGATCACTGACGGCTACCGCAGACAGTATTTACCGCGAGATTGGCATAGTGTTTCTAGGAACCAGCATCCAGCGAATTAAACAAGCAGCATTTGCCAGCCATTACCACGACATACTGCATATAAAAAATTAGAACGCGCGACATTACGTGTACATCCAAACAAATTGAGATAAAGAGGCATCGCGCATCACGCTTCATTCAAAACTGCAAGCGAGTTAAAGCAAACAGGCATCACACATCACGCATCAATTATACATGTAAGCGATATCAATTAAACAGGCATCACGCATCACGCGTCAGGCATCACTTATATGTGCAAACGATTTGAAGCTAGCACACATCACACATCAAAGCACGTATCATGTTCGCATAAGCGGCCGTGATGATTTCCGTACGTTAAGGTTTGGTCGCCGACTTTTTACAATAATAGATTTACTTCTCTTATGTCTATATGGTCCTGTGCTCTGTAGATGACTGAACTCTAGAAGGGGCATAGGGTCCATATCCCCCAGGATTTCAGCCCGAGCGTGTTTTGCAAAAAAAGGTCATCGAAAGGGGTATTCCCCGACATACACTGTCCCTCCCATGTTTTTCACACAGCTTACACTTAATTTCGTAAACCACTTCTTTGCGCGCAATCCCCTTGAAAACCAGACTTACATCTACATAGAAATATATATATATATATATATATATATATATATATATGTATGCATATTCCTCGCGGGCACTTAGGCGTCAAGGTAATTGCACGCAAAAAAGGTGGTTGACAAAATTAAGCGCAGACGGTGGGAAAAAAACATGGGAGGGGCATAGTCTATGCCGGGGAGTCCATGCGCCCTATTCGTTTGCGATACAGTGAACATCTGCGAGACGCTAAAAATGGGGAGTACCCCTTTCGGCGACCACCATTTGACAAAACGCGTCCAGGCTGAAATCCAGGGAGGTACGGACCTTATGCCCATTTCAGAGCTCAAAGTAATTTGCAGAGCATAGGACCACCCAGATCGGAAAATAAGTGAACTATTCTTATAAGAAGTCTGCGACCAAACCTTAATGTACGGGGGTCATCATGACCGATCATGCGAACGTGATATGTGCTTTGATGTGCGATGTGTGCTAGCTTCAAATCGCTTGCACATATAAGTGATGCCTGACGCGTGATGCACGATGTCTGTTTAATTAATATCGTGTACAGGTATAACTGATGCGTGATGTGAGATGTCTGTTTACTTCAACTCGCTTGTATGCTTGAACGAAGCGTGATTCGTGACGCCTTTTTACATCAGTTTGTTTGCATGCATTGCATGTATTATCTCGTGTTCCAATTCCTGGTTAGATACGTCCTGTATCGTGGTAGTGGCTAGCAATTGCTCCCTGTTTAATCCCCTGAATGTTGATGTCCTGTAAATGTGGCTCGCCGTTTGAAGAAAAACTAAAAAATCGAGTAAGATCATTGGCAGGCAATTTGTAATTCAGTTCTGTCATTGTTTCGATAAAGGCATGTTGCTGAAATATTAAAGCAGCCATATCTCCATTCTCTTGGTTATTCTCCAAGGAATAAGGCTATCACTGCTGTCTTGTCATGTATCATGTAGTGTGTCCCTTGCAAATGCAAACAACTTTATGTGGGGCACCATGTACTTTTAAAAGCTGCCACACGTTGCGGTCAGTTCTTCTTAATCGCAGTCCAGGTGTGACCACGAGGAGAAATCGCTCAACAACTACCACCATGGCCTTACATAGGACATGACGGAAATATTAGGTGCCTACTGAATACCAATTGTTGGGCAATGAACATGATACTAATAGTGACATGTCCGTCAAAGACAAGCGCCT